AAAGTTGCAGTGTTCAAACTCTGGAGAGGAAAATGGTACTGTGGCAGTCATGACCTATCTTTATGCTTCTACTAGCGTCTGGCTTTTATACTTCATGCTATCTTGATCTGTGTTTTGGAGAAACACTCTTAATAACTTGGGAGGTTGTTTTATTTAGTGTCTTCTGTGCATGTTTAGAAAACCTGTTATTTCTGTCAGATACAGCCAAAGGGAAAGAATGCATATTAACTAAAATATCTTTAGAAACACGTCATCTATTACTTAATTATCAGTATCTGTCTACCCCAGATATAGACACAATTCAGATTTTAGTTCCTAACATGTGCCTATTTTTATGTTGAGACTAACTATTGGACTAGATGTGAGACTTGGTTTAGTCTCATATCTGAAACTCTGCCTTCAGTAGAGAATATGTTTGTGAAGTAATATTTGTTACTGTAGGTGTTAAATGCTGTTTTAGTTACATTTGTTCATTTTTTTCCTGGATTTAATCCTTAGCCCAGTGTTTTTTAGTATTGCTAAGTATTTCCATTGTATTACTTAAACTGGTGTCTATTTTGTATCCATTCTTGCCAAGTTAGTTTGATGTTATCCTATTAAAAGATTTTTTCTCCTCCAACTCCAACTGTGAGTCTTTAACTATCTTTTCAGTACTGTTTTTTCCCCTCTTTCTGTCTGCTGTCAGCCATCTCCTGACCCTGGCCATGCAGAAATGGTTGTCTAGTGTGTGACTCTGAACATGCAACCAAAATGCTCATGACAGTTTAGAAACTATTAAGGGAAATCTAACTGGCTGACAACCTCCAGATACGGGGTTATTTACGGTGAGGTCTTCCACTTCTATGAAACAGAAGTTTTCTGGCAAAATGAAGTAATAAAGTTGTTGATGTCGGTGTAGTGGTGTAACAGCCAGCTTTGTCTTCATCCTGTGAGACAATGTCAGAAGACATTGACTCCTTCTACATTATAAATAGCCTGCCAAAGTACTGGGGGAAAAAAAAAAAAAAAAAAGAAGCTTTCGAATAAAAATATTTAATGCCTTATATGTGCTTGGTAGCAGAACGAGTAGTATTAGTAAAACAGATTTTTATCGTAGAAGCATGCAACTTCCCAACTCATATTATTAGCCACACAAATTATGAAAAGTAGGTTAGTTATTTTCTCACCACGGCTCCTGCCAACAAAATATTACTTAGCATCACAAAGGTGGTATTTCCAATTCAGATACAGTATCGTGCAATAATACTGGATTAGGATGGTACTAGCAGTTGTATTCCCTCCCACAGCACCCTGCTAACCAACTCTTGAGAACATCTGGAGGCTTTGCTCATATCAAAGCCTCAATACTGCACCGTCTCCTCTTTACATGAGACAAACTGCTTCAAAAATATGTTTTACTCAAGACTTTTCTAATGTAACATCACTGTTAAATCCAATTAATACAACTGTATTTCTTTAACTCATTTTAATCGTTAAACAGAGAAGCAGCCAAGGACGTTGTTACCACTACTCGGGTGATGCTGACACTCACCCTTGAATGGCTGGAAATAGACTCTATGTGGACAACAAACATGATCTACTTCACAGTGCTGTTACACAAGAGGCTCAAAATTCTCTTCCTACAAATCAGAACTAATTACAGCTTTTAGTACATACACTGATATTGTGTGGGTTTTCTAGAGAGTAACCTATGAGCAGAATACCTTACAATGCAGAGTACTCCACAAGTAAGTGGGGAGGGAATGCTTTCTCACCAGAGCATAGTTTAAACTAGAAATACAGACAGCCATGCAATATTTTTAATTAGGAAGTCCCAAAGATGACATTTTAGAATATATGCAGACTGAGTCAACATGCCTTATACAGCTGGATACACCAAGTTTGTAAATTACACATAGTGGGATCTAAAGCTGCGCACCAGCAGATCTGAACAGAGGAGAGAGGGTAGAACATTCACCAGTATTTTTAAGTCCATAGTTCTTGCATCTGCACTGGGAGAGTCACCGAGTATCAAGGGCTCACGTTTTCATACGATCAGGTTCTGCACCTTCCACTTAGTAACAGAAAGAGACGAACGTTTTATGAGGCATGATTAAAAAAACCTGATGTTAACTCTGTAAAGGAGTTCCCTCCTTGGGATGCACCTCTATAATTTTAAAGCTTTTCAAACTCTTTATACAAATGAAAAGCCAAAGTTAAAAATGTAAACATAGAAAATCTTAAAATTCCATTTATGTTATGTAGAACTAGATATATACACACATTTTTTTTTTTAAAATAAGAACTGAGTTCATTGTCACCCCTCTAGATATAAACTCAAGGTTTTGCTTGCTTCATGTTTTCAAATATATTTTAGATCTCTTTGCGAAACTTCGCCCAAGATAAATCTGTGTAAATAGTAATAACTGTACACAAAGTTGTTTTCTTATGATTTAGAAAGCAAATTTAAAGCACATTTTTTCTATAAAGATTCACAGTGATATAGCTCAAGAAACATTTCCAAGTTGCAATCCAGAAACTTTTCAATCATGATCCATCTGTCTATATCTGAATATATACTTGTATGAAGTTATAACTGAAGAACTGATACAAAACTCTGTTTTCTTACTGAACTGCTCATTATAGAGAAGACTCTGAATATAAAAGTTGGTGGGTTTTTTTCTTTAGAGACAAATACTTTTCTGCTTGTTGCACTCCGTTTGCTGTCAATCAAGAGCTCTTGTTTCCACAGGAAACAGTGGCAATTAAAAGCAGACAAATCACAATGATCTGGCAGAACAACATAGTATCTCCCCACAGAATGGAAGACCAGAAAGACTGCAACCTGTAATAAGACAGGAGTTATCATTTCCACTGGAAACAAGCACAACCACTACTGAGAAGTCATGAAAACTTGCCAGCTTTTCCTCCCCAGTATAAAAGCAAGATGGCAAAGAATGTGCCAAAAAACTACTTCATCATAGGGATCAAGGAGGGGGGGGGAAATAAATCAGATCATGTGTTAAATTACAACTGACTAAAACTTCAGACCGGATACCAGGAAAGTTTGAAATCAGTGAGCTACAAAATTTTCATTGCAGTTAAGTTTTGCTTTGTGAATGCCTTCAAACTTACAATCACTAAAGTATTAAGGAAAAAATTAATTCCAAGTTAGATGTGTACCTGTAGATAAATAATAAGAGAAAATGCCCAAACTGAAAGACTTGAGAGAGGACAAACCATCCTTGAAGACTGAAGCACACTATTCTTGCCAGGTTGTTCCTCCTTCCCAACGGGCAGGCTGTTGGTCAGTCAGCTAACTCTGTGGCACTCGTTTTTTACTAAATGTTAGCATTAAGTGTTCCTCATGTAGTCAGGTCACACACATCAGGAGTTTTTCAAAGTATGTTTAAACCGTAACAGTAAGATGACACCAGATTCTGTAACAGTTACTATTAAAATGGGTAATAAACCTGAAAGAATAGACATAACGGGGAGGAAGAGAAGAAAATGAAAAAATAAAACCAAAGTTCTGTAAGTTTTGTTTAGTTAAAGCCGTCACATTGGTAATTCATTTGCACATTCATTCTCCTTTTCTTCGGCATTACTCTTTTTCTCACTCTTGTACGTGGAAAGGAATAAGTTTTCTATCTGAGTCAAGAACTCTTCAGCAATGAAGCAGTTTGTTACCTTGCCCAAAGTCTTCCTCATGCACTCCAAAAGCTAGTCAAAAGAAAAAGAGATTTTTTTTCTAAATTGTCATTTTTGTTGAGTTTATTTTTTCCCCCATCTACCTGATGAGTATTCCAAAGGAATTTTTATTTATTTATTTAGGATTCACACTACAGAAAGTGTTCAACTGCACAATATAAATTTCAGAAAGGAATAGTCACACAGGAACACATGGGTGATTTAAAACCAATTCTTTAAAACCAATTACACCAACAGCTCAAGTCAAGAGTATTCTACCAACTCAATTTTAGATTGAAGCTGTTCATAAGCAAAGTCATGTTGAGAGAGAGAAAAAAAAAATCAGATGTGGGTAATCACTGTGTACATGTTTTCTCTTTATGCCTTTTGCTTTGGGCACATTTTCTGTCTTGTTCGTGCAATTAATGTTACAGCTGTAGTTATTTAGAACTTCAGAGCAATGACTACTCTGACTGGAAAATTAAAGTTCTCACTTATGCGTGACAAACATGGCACAGCACTACTTTAGAGATGGAACAAAGGATTAGGAAGTGCAAATCTGCTCTTGAAACACATGCAGCTCTCGACACTGAAAGCTGAAAGACGCGATTCATTCACCATTCATTCTGCTCCAAACTGAGGTTAAAACCTGGAGTCTGCAGGTAACTCTCATCCCCAACTCTCACAAATGAGTATCCTTATTTACTCAGAATCCTTATTTACTTACAAACGCAATCCAAAATTGTCAAAATTTGTAAGTAAATAAGCTGCACCACAAAGCGCATTTACTGTGATTAGTTTACATCTGATACGTAAATATATTAAGTTCAGGTGACTTCTGATGATATGAAACAAAATTTAAAAAGCTAAAAGAAAAAAAAACAACTTACTTTCTGCAAACAAGTCAGGTCAGAATCTCTATGAAAAATTTTATCCATGGGGACACTGCTGTTGAGAGAAAAACAAATAGCAGTGCTGCAGAAAGCAGACACACGTCTTTATTGAAACATCAGTGATTCTTTATAGTAAAGTAGAAACATACCTATGGCAGAATCTGTATTTTTCAATTATCCATCTTGTTTTTTCAAATATTAACTCCCACTGAGGTTCCTCCAACATCTGCTGTACTTCAAATTTGTAGGGCAGGCCTGTAATCAGTGGAACATCATTATTCAGTGTTCTTAGTACACTCAACTTTTTTTCTTCTTTTTTAGCTTCAGGTGCAATCTCTTACTTCCCCATAACTGTTCATAATTTATTACTGACTGCTGGAGCTTGCAGTCCTGTTCCTTGCCAACATTAAGGAGGTTAAAGTCAAAGTTGGATTCCAAATTTAATTTTGGTGGGAGTAGGGAGCAAACCTTTTCTCCTGCCTGCCCTCGCCAATTCCTCATGCTGATAGGAAGCACACAAAAATCTACAAAATAGCAGAAAAATGGCAAAACGAATTAAGTTTCTATAACCTAGTACCACTTTCGTAGTCTCTCTAAAATCAATGGGGTTATTCAGTGAATAAAAAATGTTTTGTTTATTAGGTATGAACTGGCTGACTATTGTTCTGGATTTCAGAGGAATTTTGCTCCCAAAGGAAGAAATTCTAGTTTACTGCAGGTAGGGTTAGGGAATTTATAAAGTATTCTAAAGGAACACCAGAAAATTACTTGCAGAACAGAATTCACTTACCAAAAATCAGAAAGTCATTAAAAAAAAAAAAAGCGCCTTTCCAAGATGATAAGAATTTAATGAGATGAAAGACGTGCCTTCCAGCTAGACCTCAGATTAAGTGAAAAGCAATAAACACAATTTGCTCTTTAAACACATCTTGAGTGTGAGAAGTGTTCAGTGCAGAACACATTTCCAAGAGTAAGAATTGATCTATAGAAATATTTATGGCTCACAGGAAATTTTTCTTCATTTGCACAGTACTGTAGCGCTGCCATGGTATAACTTTTCCACAGAGGAAAACAGGATGAAATATAGGAGATACCATTTTATAAAAAGTTGATTTTGGGAGCCCTCTCAGAAAGAAGATAGATGTGACCAAAAAATATGTCTATTTCTAAAGGCAGATAAAGTTTCTAAGTATTTGAAAGTGCACACCCCAAGCGTGGGATGTATGGGAAATGAGGATAAAATGACAGTACTATCCGTTTGGTAAACAGGAATCACTGCACAGATGTGGCCGCCACTTCACTTCCCCCAGGACGGTGAAGCAAGTCTCCCGGCAGATGGTCTCCCCCTGCTTACTTCCACAGGAAAAAACAGAGGGGGAACTGCCAGCTCCCACGGCCTCTGCTACTGCCTGGCCAAGAAAACGGGAAACCTTGGAGTCTGGGTGCAAAAATCAGGACTTACACAGGGGAAGGGAGGAGGAGAGGGAAGAGGCAGCTAACATAACCATACGCTGTTACCATGGGAATTCTCTAATTAATGCCAGGGAACGAGCAGAAGATCTGATCTTCACTTGAAATACCATACATTTTATAGGATCTGTTCTTAACTGTTCAAGAAAGGAAAACATCCCGTTTTCATGAAATGCCAATGACATTTTTAATCAAGAATTTGTTCTTTTAGGTTGGGATTCATGCCAGCACAGTGTTTCATCTTTCATAGCTGCTGTTTTCCTGGACAGCTGGCAAGTTTGATCCTTTGACCTTCTGAATGCCAAGTTACTCAAATCAGGATTTTTGGCCACTGTAGTGGCCAATTCTTTGCTATTATACTTCTGTCTTCTCGATCAGCGAATCTGTTCAGAATTTTATAACACAGCAAAGTATCAGTAATACATGTGTAGCAGTTTCTCAGCTGTTCGTGTGGATGCTGTATGTAAATATCAGTGACCCCTGTCCCAACCCTTTAATTTCTTTCACAGACTGTTCTTCTGTATTAGTATTTCCCACAATCTTCTATCTGGTTAGACCTGTATGTTCTCGTCACGACAGCACCAACTACTTGCAGGGTTACCCTTGAAGTGAAATTCTTGGGTTTGTACAGCACAAGTTACTGACATAAAAATATAAATATCTATTTCTCGAGTTCCAAGAACAGACAACATTTTTCCCCTTAGTATCCACAAAAGGAAAAGAAAAATTCAGACAATGAATAAAATATCAGTACTTACGGTAGGAACCATCCGCACTGATCTCGTCACTAATTACTAGACAAGTAATTTGAGAATATGGAAGAGGATTATTCCGGTTGTAAGGACTTATAATCATTCCAATGAACATGGCACCACCCCTGGAGAAATAACTCTAAAAAAAATGAAGACACACATAAAAATTCCACATACAAGAAATATCACCTTTTTCAGAACAGCATTCTGAAATTAAAAAAAAAAAAAAACAACCAGATTTTATGTTAATTTATGAACTGATTTGAAGATGTATTAGAACAGTAATGTGTTATATCACCGTAAATGTCAGGAAGGCTATAGGGTTGTTTGGGTTTTGGTTGGGTTTTTTGCTATTTATTTATTTTGAACGTACAGAGCAGCGAGTACCTGGTATTTTGCTTGAGTGTCAATGTCTCGGATGGAGGGGTTGGGGTCGAAGGCCGGGTGGGAATGGTACCACCCGATAACCCGGTACCCCCTGGCAGCCAGCGTTTCCGAGGCCTGTGTCTGAGATACAGGATCCATCTCACACTGCAGTCCTGTGCTGAGGCTGTTGCACGGCTCCGCAGCACAAACCTGTTAAAAAAGTCTCCAGATGGATAAATGCAAGAAATCTCCATCAGTTAAATAAAATCTAAAGAATTTTAAGAGTCATGTACTAAATCTTCCTCACAATGGGAGTTGACAGGCCAACACTTGCACATAAGCATAACTCTAATGTTTCAAGACTACAGTAATGAACTTCAACTTAAATATATTTAAGTAGTTGCCCTTCAGAAATAACATTTACATCTATTCAAATTATATGTATTATCATAACAGTTCTAATGTTTTAGAGAAAATGTAAAAAGACAAACACTTACTTCTACAACTTTATCAGCTTCAGAGTATCTTCCACCTAGCAGCCCTATAACTTCTGCCATAGACACATGAGAGTGCTAAAATGATATTAAACAATTATTAAAGTTCCAGTTGTATAATTTCTCCTCGTTTTGATCTGCACATGACAGACTCGTAGCTGTGAAGCCAGTAACTCCTCAATGACATTTAGAAAGAAAACTTAGGACAGCTGCAGATTCTCAAATACCCAGTGTTTCAATTTAAAGCAAACAGAAGAGATTATGTTTGCTTATTATACACCCGCAGGTATACAGTGTGTTTGTACAACACTTCATGCATGAAGCCTGAGCAGTGCTGAACAACTGCACCAATTTTGGTACAACCTGTTGTTATTAGCAAAACCCCACACATTGCTTTATAAACACAAAAAATAAATTCCCAGACTAGTAGAAAATGAACCCCTAAGATTTCAAAATGCCATTCTGTTTATGAAAGTAGCCTTAGGGAAGTTATATTTAGCATGTGACAAAGACTACTAAGTAGTAACACTCTTATTAGTGTACAACCATTTACCTTCTAGAAAAACTAAGCACAATATTAAAAAAAAAAAATCCTCTTTATGGGCTTTATTTAAGATTAGAGTCTCACTTCTAGGTTAACTTCTTTCCATTTAGACCTAAGTACTGTATTTGTCAATCTTCTTATGTTGCCCATTAAAAAAACCCAAACCAAAACAACAAAAAATCCCCTCCAAAACCGCACAACATGCACATCATAGCTTTTTGAAAAATAAAACTTAATCCTCACCAAATCCATTATTAGAAGTGCTTCGGAAGACACTTTCACCTGAAAAGGTTCCTGAAATGATAAACATAATAATGAGTATAAGAAACATAATGTAAGTAATAAAGCATTCTTGATTATTCACTCATAGGTACATACCTGTTTTTCTTCAGAGAATAAACAGCATGGTATCAGCTGAAAGGGATCAAAGGAACTATAAAATGAAAGAAAATTTCTCTAAAGATGTAGGACAGTCAGGAAACTTTTCAAGTTTCCCCTCTGTCTCCTTGGCAGAGGAGGTATAACCTTGTTTTCTTTACTGGATTTTCTCATCCCACACTGGGATGACTTCCACCAAATACAGAAACTTCACTACCCCACTCGTGAACTGCAACACGAAACATCTGAAATACATATATGTTATTCCAGACCGTAACACGCAAATGATTTGCAGTGTTCCAGCCTGACACTACACAAGACATTTGTTTCATTTCTAGATCTATGCTTGAACACGATGTACGTCAAGTAATACCTTTTTATTTGTCTTGAACCTTTAGAAGATTTTGCAGGTTTCAGTTTTTCTTCCTCTCTTCTTCTTGCTAACTCTTCAGCAGAGAGATGCTAAAAAAATTGTAAAAAATTAAATGACTTAATGTCTTAAGTGTTCTTTTAGTAGCGATTCCAAACCCAGCCCAGAATAAAATTGTTGACGTGAGCGTCCTCCAGACGTACTATTAATTTGTGCATGTTACAGGACTACTCAAGATAGAGGGCAACAGCCATAGCAGAACCAAGCAGTGTGAAAGCAATGACAATCAGATCTGGTGCCCAAGATGCCTGATGAGGGGATTCTTATATTCCCCAAGTCAAGCAAATTCAGCAGAATCTCAGCCCATATCACAAACCATGCGTAAATGGGAGAACTACGGAGAAAAACTGCCATTACAGTCTGTGGCCAGAATTTATCGTGACACCTATTTAGGGATGAGCGTTTCCAAAATTTATTTCCATCCAAATATGTGTTTTGCAGAAAGTGTTGGAATTACTAACAACAGTTACTCAAAAATTATAACTTTATGAAGTAATTGTTACAGATACTTATTACTGAAGGCTGCAAATTTAAGTGGCTTTCTGTACAAGAAAAATAGGATGTTTACAGTTCTTTTTGTATGTTTTGAAACTGTAGGAATGGACAAGTAGGTGTTTTCTTTCCAAGTCTTCTATAAAATATTTAAACTTGTATGACTGTTTCTAAGCACTGCATAAACCACTATTTCTGGGGATATTGCTGGGAGTGGAATTAATGTTAGGAACTTTTATCCCCTGCATTATAAGCACAAACAAACCATATAGGACTGGAAAAAATAACATTTACATCTTATTCTCCTACCCCCCACTGTCAGCTTTAGTAAGGGAGTTAAGTGAAAACAAAGGGTGATGAAGTCTCCTACAAGACAAGACAAAGAGCTTTATAGGCATGAAACAAAGTAGAGCAATTGGTGCCCACACCACTGTAAACACCCAAGTACAGTTGTATTTATCAGCAGCATAAAGATGTAACAGCTGCTACATTATTTTCAAATTATTGCTTCCACAAAGAGAGGTTAAGTACCCATTACACAACTGTTCCCCTTGTACACTTGATGCAACACCACCTGCTAGCAATTAGCAAGAATTAATTATTTAAGGAAACTTTAAAACACAGAAGGGTTACCTCAAACGTCTGTCCTTCCAAGTCTTTGGCATCACACCAGTTTCCCCAAGGGTCTCGCACTCGCCGCCGCCTTGTACGCTACAACAAGCAAATCAACATGAGTCAGGGATCTTACTCCTGAAAAAGCTGCATTCACTGCACTGAATCAGCCCAACAACATTGTCCTGAAGGTTCCTGCCACGTGAATGTTACTGACACTACAACACCTCTCCAGGAAAGAAAGAACACCCTGGAGTTGTGTAGAATTAAGCAGTTCAGAATCTATTATGAAATATCATCAGTGAGGTTTTTGGTTTTTAAGGCTGTAGAGCGTATCACCTGGTTGATGTTCCACGGATCATCAACATCACTGACAGCAACAGTGCACCCAGCTCTGAATTATAGCTCAGACATGCAAAAAGCTATAAAACCAATATCTTTACATCTAGTATATGCTACAGTTCTTCATATTTCAAATTTATTTTTTTTTAGTGGGATTGATTTAGTTTTCCTCTCATCAACTGATTTATTTTGCTGTGAAGTGCTTAAAAAATGCCACATTAAACGTGGACATGAAAATCTGGCAAGGGTTTGTAATTCACACTTTATGAGTTACTACTGTACTTAACGGTGTGCATAAGGCTCTCAGTAAGCCATATCACATACCTACTACACTTAACAGTGAATATGCAAGCAACTTAATCACACGCTACTGATACACTCTACTATTTTCTGGTGAATTCAGGCTAGTAAGTTATGGAGAGGTGGGAGGAAGGGGTTGGGGCTGCAGGGAAAAGACTAAAACACAACTGTAGATAAGTACCCAGACATAAATCAACAGTGTAAGATAGCAGAAGTTAGGGCAGACCCCTGTCAAGAGAGCAGAACCTGCGCTCAGACTGACACTCAAACTCCAGGGCCTTCCGACGAAACTGCCAACTGAACAAGAGGAGTTTCCTGAGATGCCCTGGCTGGAAAATGAAAATTGAAACGACCATTTCCATGCTGAATATCTTTTGCTGCCCCCACCTCCCTCACCAGAGCATACCATGGACTGCAAGCGCTGAGCCAGCTGGTAGGCTTCCACCGTGTCTTTGCCTTCTCGGGACCGTGTTTTGTCAGCGGGCTGGGGTCGGTTATAGACAGCCTGTTCTGCAGGGAACAGAAGAGACACACATGAGGCCACTTCTTACCGGTACAGAGCCAAGAACGATACAGGTAAGTGAGAACCATAAATGCCATAAATTAAAAAACAACAAGAAGAGGCACAGTGAAAAGACACGTCTCGATGGTCATACTATTGACTGATTCTATAGCCCTCTCCCACTACCACAGCATTTTTAAGACAGAGAAACTTAATTCCTTACTGTTAATTTATTTTTAATAACCTTTACTTCAGACAAAATATATTTGCAGGGCATTCCTCCTCTCCTAAGTGACTGTCCTTCAGCTTTGGACCAAAATCAATCCAGAGAGATTAAACCAACAGTAATCTGTATATTTTTAACATGTCACCTAATTCTAAATCTTTTAAAAACTAGCCCTGAGGATGAAGACATTGCTTTTTTGTTTAGGAAATAGTTACAATCCAGTATGGGAAAAGAAACAGGAACTTGAATTCTGTCTTATGTGGAGGGAGGGCAACATTTCAGATACAGCAGGTATCAGGAAAAAAACTCCCAACACTGGCCACACAGAAAAGCACAAAACAAAAAAAACCTCCCCACCAGCTGGTGTGCAGTAAACATGAGGGAGGAGAAAAAAGAAAACGTCTTGTGTAAAACCCAAAATTGATAATCTTGTAAGCAGGTTACAAACTACTCTAGAATTTCAAAGGTTGTGAGAGACAATCTGCTCTGAAGGTCCCTCCTAGCAAGGCTTAACAGGTACTCTTCTGTGGGAGCAGCACACCTCATGTCAAGTCCTTCAACATTCATACCAAACCAGGCCACAGGCATGTAGGTGGGAACATGACTATACTGAGCACAGTCCAAACAAAGAATCTCTTCCACAGAACTTAAATGTAACAACAATTACTATTTAGGCCATTAATAGTACACACAAGTTGGAAGATTATCCACATGTATGCTTGATTCTGATTAAGTGCAGTCATCTACGCTTCAGTGAAGTGAACTTGCAATTTTTCTTTTAAATACACACCTACTAACTTAATGTTTAGCCTCCACAGGAAAACCTTCATTTAATAAGAAAGGCTGAGAGTCAACAACAGAGGTGTTCAGCATGTCCTGACTAGAATTTAAGTTCTGAATTGATTCCACTAAAAATATCTTTACCACAGCCAAAGTTAATCGCTCCTATTAACTCCAGGTATGTGTGGATCCGTCCAATGCAGTTAACATCACCACAGTTCTTCAGGCCTGGACGTACTGAAGTCTTATTCAGGTATTTGGGTTTACACCTCTCCCTAAAATAAAGTACAGCACGTTGTCAGACAGCGAAACAAGTCACAGGAGGAGAAAGGAATTGTGTGACTTAAGTTTTTTGCCTCCACGATGCACACACTGCACACCACTATGCAGGGCAATCATAGCACAAATACGTATTTCACAAAACACAGTTTATTTTAGGGTTATTCATACTTATGCAGAGTGAAATTTAGGTGCCATGCGTTAAAAATAAAAACCCAACTCTTCAACACGACTGGTGCCAGGAAGCAATAAACTACTCAGAAGTACTACGATACTGCTAAACTGATAAAAGAATGTCTGCATTGGATTAGTCTAAATAGCTCACATAATCACAGGCTTCCCTGGTGGAGTAAATAGGCCTGTTTTCACTCTCTGTGCACTTATTCTTGCTCTTAAACTGATACTGAATCATTTCAGTTCACCACTTCTCTGGTATGGAATTTTAGAGCTTCTTTGCAACTAGAATAAACTGTTAATACACAAGACAACTGAATGAGATCAGTTAAACTCGGCAATTACTACTCAACAGCAGACTAAGCAACACAACAAGCACACAAACCAAAACTGCTAACAGAAGAACCATGTATTCAGCCTGAGACCATAAATCACTAAGGTTTCTTAAACTGTTTCTTTGGAGACAAAGAATAAAATATTCAAGTGTACAAGCACTACACCAAAATGATTCTTAATTGGAAGTGGGTTTTTTTTGGTCAACATAATTTGCTCTAGAACAGACTATTTCTTCTAGCTGCCCTTCTATAAAGGCAGTACTACAGACCTTATTACAGAATTAATTTGTTATTTTGAGGAACCGTTTATTAAAACTGTATATACATTCTTACGTATAAGATGACAAAAACTGGAAGAAAATAATGCAACCAAAATGGTTGTACTGATACAGGACTCTCATTTTCAGAATGCTCCAAAGTATTTTCATTGCTTAGCTTCCAGAATGACAGGAAAAAAAAAGAAACAAACACCAAAAACTGGGAAGAGGCAGAAAAAACATTAATAATCAGTGCTGTTCACTGGTAATCTTTATAATGCTACCATAAGATTAATTTTACTCTTTTCAAAGCAAGCTATTAGTACTAAGTAGGGTCTTAAATACAACAAATCAGGACATGAGTCATCTTAATAATTTTGGTAAAGGAAATTAATGCATCTTACCATTGGTCCAAAATATAATTCCTAATTTTCAAATAACGCTCAGGTGTTTTGGCCTGGCGCCCTTCAAAAAATTCAGGAATGGCTTGCTTTTCTTCTTCCAGAATGGTGCTTCTGTCAACCTCCACTTCTTGATCAGGTGGCTTAAGCTCCTCTGCTTCTTCCTGATGATCTTCATCCACTTGGCAGAGAGAAGGAAAAAGCAATGTGTTATCAGCCAGGTCTCTCTGTTCCTCAGGAAGCTCCTGATCAGTTCCTTGCCTCGTACCATGAGAGGTGACTACTCGGCCTTGTTCCGCTTTCTCAATGAAATTATTGTATTGCTGGTAATCTAAATTCACAGATTTATCACCGTTCAGGTGCTGAGAACATGTTGCTGCAACACCTGGAAATACTAATGCATCCACTGTATCTTGCTTGGTATGTTGAGGATCTTCTTTAGGTAAAGAAATTGCAGAACTGTGTCTGGCAGATGAAAACACACATTCCATTCCTTTTGTTTCTTCAACTGGACTTTTTGAAATAACAGATTTTCCAGTTTCTTGCTGGAAGGCAGGAGAAAGTAGCTCATCCATGTCATCAGTTATGTCTACTTCTTCATCATCTGACAGCTTTTCAATTTTCACTGCATTCAGATTGGGGTCTGCACGTCCTCTCAAGTTTCCAGACGACCACGCTTCTACCTTTATCCCATCTTCAAGGGGAAGACTGCTGCCGCACTGACTTCGCTCTTCTTTTTCAGAATCACCATTTTTTGCCTTGGGAGAACATAAAATACTTTTAGGAGGGAAAAACAAAACAATCTTCTCTGCCTCCCAAACAGTCAGAAGTATCTTACTTGACCAGCAGACATTCTGAAGTGTTTCTTCCTCATCTTACCCTTTTAATACATCTTAATCTGTAGCAATTGGCTTTTACGTAGCATTCTATGTATACCTCTAGCCCAAGTGTAAATTAGTACTTCCGTTTAAAAAAACAAAAACAAAACCACAAAACCCAGACAGTAGTAATTTCTTCTTAAATGCCCCTGAGGTCTCAAATGAGGCTAAAACTAAAACTGTAACACAGAGCTGAAGCAGCTGTATAGTGGAAACAAGTATTGTCAGACCAAGAACCAACTGTGTAAGAGACTACAATTCTACTATATTTATTGTTTAGTTATATCAGCAATAAAAGAACTGAAGTCATTCTAGGAATTTGAAATCAGGTCTGACTTCATGTTTCAATCTGCAAATAAGCATATTCCACTTGTCTGAATATGGGAACGAAGCGAGTATGTTAACAGCGGGACCATGAAAAGACAGATTAATATCAGTTGACATGTACAACAGCATACTTGTCAAACAGCCTTTCTGCTAACTACAGAGATACTCTGTTTACCTTGTTCTTAAAGTACTGCCGAGCATAGCTCTTCACTTGTAGAACAGTACGACTTCCAATCAACTTGGCAATTTTTGTCCACCGGCGGCCAAACTTCACCTAGTACAACAAAGCACGTTTAAGGTACCCAAACTCATACATTCCAGATGTTGACCTTCATGGGCCTAAAGAATTCAAAAACTCAATTATTCAATACAAATGCACAAACAGTACAGCAAGTCTATGTCAAAGAACCTCACTACTCATATTCTACTGAAAAGAAAACTAACATGAAGTTATTGCTACCCTTAACCAGAGGATCCTCTTCACCCAGTTCAGGCACACTGTAAATGATGCTGCCTACTAACCTGAGGAATCCTACTGAAATGAATTTGTACTTGGCAAAGCAAAACCTATTACATTCAGCAGTGTACCACCATATCATCTCTAAAGACCCTACAAGAGTAGTGAAAGAATTTCACTTTATTAGCTCATTTGCTTTAAGCACGCACTAAAGTTCCTGTAGTTACCTACAGCATTATGACTGTACAATTCATAAAGCTGTATAGTTGAGATATTTTGTGATCTCAAATTGTCATCAGCCTCACATCAACAAAACCTGGTAAACAGAGCCATTTGGAGGGATTAATCAATATAAATCTGATTCATCATTAAACTCTTAGTAGGTAATTATTTTTAACAGATTAGAAGTACAAACCAAGAAGCAGATGAATATAAAATTAATAAATACTATTGTTGTTATTTAAGATAACAATGACTTCTATTAAAAAAATATAAACAAACTTACCAGTCCTTGTTCAAACAGTTCTTTCTCTTCTGATGTCCACTTTAATGGGTAGCTAGCTGATTTTGTAGGTGATCGCACCCTAGAGAAATAGGAAACAGAAGTTAGTGCTTGCTTAAAAATATATATTCTCAAATCCCAGTAACTGAAGGCTACTTCTGACCAGAGGACTACTCCTCATCTTCTGTAAAACTCAAGGTATTGTTTTAAACATGAGTGCGGCTGATAAGCAAAATATTGAGAATCACGTCAGCTTCTCCATCACAAAGGAAAATACAAGACAACATTCACCAGTAATTAATGGTACAGAATTGGTACAATTATGGTACAATTAATGGTACAGAAACACACAGAAGTAACAAACAGAAAAGTTCAGGCAAGGAAGCCGACTAGAATGAATGAGGGTTTTTTTCAGAAGGACCACTGTGCTACAGAACCCAAACTACTTTACTACAGGCCTATTATTACACAAAATAGTATTTCTTTGCATTTAAAGGTCTCTTAAATAATTTTGTACAGCCAAATAAAAAGAACTAAGGAACTGTAACTTTTTTTGTTTCTAAGTGTCCAGTAACTTAACAAAAATCAGACGCCACACTTAAAAATACACTTAATGATTAAAATGTACATACATGACTTTTCCAGTTTTCTTATGCGGGCTGCAAATAAAAAACAAAGTGAAAATAAAAGTGAATAATTGTAATGCTGTTGCCTATCTCAACAAATAACTTTATTTTGGAAGGACTTTGCATTTCTTCTCATCTAACTGAGAATTCTTCCCAGCACACAGCTTACCTTTTCATAGATCTTTTCTCCACTTCCTTGTGATTGAGCCATATTTTCTCAGAAAGTGATTTATTAGATAAATAATATCTGAAATAGTCACTAAGTAAGTTTTTGAAGCATCAGAAATATTTGTACACATGATAATTCTGATAAACATATAAATTAGACTGATTCATAACTATTCAGTTGTAGAAACAAATACTGCACTGCTTTCAAAACTGAAAATTTCACACACTCCTACTAGTTCAGTGCATAAGAAAGTGACATTTGACTTCTGAACCCTCATGCTCATTTTACTTGCAGCAAACTAGGCATGCTGTTTCTACAAGAGCATTTTTCTTTTTTGACTTAGAAAACACACTAAAATAATTTTCATTATACTGATACCTTATCTATTTTCAGATTGAGCCTCCATAATTCTAACTAGGAAAACTTTCATTGCTTTATTTTCTTGTTCCTCTATTACTGTATATTACTCCACTCAGTTACAAAAAGATCATGAAAATAAATTAACCCATGATTACTACTGCTATAATGTCTAGTCTAAGGTCAATTTATGCCAGAAATGCTACTAGTGGCAAGACTATTTAAACCAATACTGCTTTAAAAAAAAAAAAAGCAAAAATAGCAGCAGCTGTTCCTTCCCATTTTCATCCTGCATGCTGGCAGAAGTATGAATGTAGCCAGACAAAACCAGACAGTAAACCAGCCCAAGTGAAGAACAATTCAGCAAAAAGAACTAGCTATTTTTAGCCAGATCAGCTGTTTGATCAGGTTCGGTATGAAGCCACACAAACAGCTGCATCAGCCCAATGCTGGATGTGGCACTGAACAAGCAGCTGAAGTGGGGATGAATACTGCTATTTTTGGTGCCAGTGCCGGCTTAAATAGGCAAGCTTTGGAGTAATTTTCTGAAGAATCAGAAACATCAGAAGAAGTTGCAGGTACCTAGCTGATTAATTCAGAGGTCCTCTCTGATTTCTGCAATCTACCTACAAGATGACAGTGCTTCAGTCACCTTCCTAAGAAAAGATTTATCCAGGTCCTTTGGAAACAGGAAGTTTTCTGTTGTTCTGCAGAAAAACATACAAGCAAATCAGCGAAAGGATACTCTTCTTCCAGCAGCATTTTCTCAATGACAGCCCTGTTTTCTTCACTAATGCTGCTGTCCAACGTCCATGGCTGCAAACAATACATTTTAATATTTGAATTCTGTCACAGTTTTAGCTGAATATCAAGAATCAATATATATGTTTTTAAAAGTAATCAAAAAGGATGGATTAAAAACCTAAAAGAACACGTACACAGACAGAAGAGAATAGAGAAAACAGAAGTTCTGATAACCTTGTTAAAAGTACCTTTTCATTGAAAATATACTTACGAGACTGTTATCAGTTCTCCAAGATGAATCAAGATAGTGATCCTGCAGCAAGCTTGAAGCTGTGTTCTCATGATCTCTGAAAAAAGATTCCAGTGTTCAAAACAAGGCAAACACATTCAAACAAAATGAATGCTGTCAGAGTTAAAATAATGGTGTGGCAAGTAAGGAACATTAATGGAAGATGACTGAATTAGACACTAAAAATAAAAACATATATTGTAGATTATTATACAATGTTACTCTCTCATACCATCAGACATAGCATAAATCCCCCTCAGTCAGTCATCTTTTTTAGCAATCTCAGTAGCAACTCCTCACCTATGTCACTGCAGACAGTATGAAATACTAGTGAAACCCCCAAATAGCAAAAATTCTCAGCTAGAATGACTAAAAGCACATGAAAAATATTCAGAAATGAAAGAAGTCAGGATTTTATGGACAAATAAAGAACTTTTATTTTTGTTAAAAGTGTCACTGAGTTGTAATATCTCCACTTAGCATTTCTACATCTTTCCCCCAATAAGGAAAAAACACCCTCTCATAAAGAAAAATCTGTTTTCCTCCTGAGGAAAGTGCATACTTACACGAGGTTTAACAGAATCCTGTCAAACTGGGTTGTTAGTGCTCCTACGGACTTTATCCAGATTATGATTGATCTTTTCTGTAAATAACTATTTATCACTTTCAGAAATCTATCACTGATTAACATCATCAATCAACTTTCTTCTATTTCAGTGCAGCACAAAATCTCAATAATTCAAGTAATTACTTGTTTTCAAAAAACTCTGCTTCTAGAACATTCGGATTCTAAAGACTAATTAGCCCTATATCCTCTGCAATGTACTAAATTAAATTCACCTACTATTCAGAACTGCTTTGTGCCAGCAGTTCAATTATCTCTTTATAGATAAGGATAAATCCCCATGTACAGCCAGAAACCAATGCAACTCCTGCTTCTTTGAAGTATATCAAGAAATGGAGCAGATCAGCAGCCCCCTTTGCCCAGTAGTCTGTCTCCAGCAGTGGCAGGTGCTACTCTAAGACAGCATGTGAGCCCTGCCACTATCTCTGGTACAATCCTCTCATACTCTCCCAGCATCTGCAACTGCTAGATTTGCAGTGTTACAGTTGCTGCTTGTTCACTTCACAGAATCACAGAATGGTTTGTAAGGGACCTTAAAGATCATCCAGTTCACTCCCCTGCCATGGGCAGGGACACCTTCCACTAGCCCAGGTTGCCCAAAGCCCCGTCCAACCTGGCCTTAAACACTGCCAGGGAGGGGGCAGCCACAGCTTCTCTGGGCAGCCTGTGCCAGGGCCTCACCCCCTCACAGGGGAGAATTTCTGCCTTACATCTGATCTAAATCTGCCCTCTTGCAGTTTAAAACTGTTACTCCTCATGCTAGCCCTACATTCCCTGATCAAGAGTCCCTCCCCCCTTTCCCGCAGCCCCTTTCAGCCCTGGGAGGCCGCTCTAAGGTCTCCCCAGAGCCTTCTCTTCTCCAGCTGAACCCCCCAACTCTCCCAGCCTGTCCTCACAGGGGCTGCTCCAGCCCCCCCAGCATCTCTGTGGCCTCCTCTGGCCCTGCTCGAGCAGGTCCGTGTCCTTCTGCTTGTTGGTGCCCCAGAGCTGGACCCAGCCCTGCAGGGGGGTCTCACAAGAACAGATCAGAGGGGGAGAATCCCCCCCTCGCCCTGCTGCCCACCCTGCTCTGGGTGCAGCCCAGCACACGGGTGGCTTTCTGGGCTGCGAGTGCACATTGCTGGTTCATGCTGAGTTTCTTGTCAACCAACATCCCCAAGTCCTTCTCCGCAGGGCTGCTCTCAATCCACTCCTCAGCCAGCCTGGATTTGTCTTTGGGATTGCCCCAACCTACATGCAGGACCCTGAACTTGGCTTTGTCGAGCTTCATAAGGTTTTCCCAGACCCACCTCTCCAGCCTGTCCAGGACCCTATGGATGGCACATCCCTTCCCTCCAGCGTGTCAACTGCACCATAGAGCTCACTGTCGTTGGTGAACTTGCTGAAGATGCACTCAATCCTGCTGTCCACATTGCCAACAAAGATGTTAAACAGCACCAGTCCCAACACCGACCCCTGAGGACACCACTCATCACTGCTCTGCACTTGGACATCAAGGCATTGACCGCAACTCCCTGAGTGTGACCATCCAGCCAATCCCTTTTCCACCGTTTCAGCATCTGTTTACAGATGACTTGTACCTGTGAACTTGTTGAATCAGTTTTCTGACCCTCTCTATGTTCAACTATCTGCACCTGTTCACCTCAGCACATTCACTAACAGTTATGTAACACAGTATCTTCTGCCTATGTATTTCAAAGGAGCCTCCTAGCAGTCTCAGCGCCAGGCGACCCTGGTTCACGTCCTGCCGGATCCGATGACAGCAGCTCTGCATTCACCTCGCTCTGAGGATTCCACAGGCCCCGTTCGCAGTGCCCGGCCCGATGATGCTCTGCCTTGGCGCGTCCCGCCCTGGGCCCTCAATGAGACTCCAAGGTCTCTCCCCTGAGGCGCCCAGCGGCGGGAAGCAGCGGCGGCGCCGGGGGCCCCAGGTGAGCGCGGCCGCACGGAGCAGCCCCCTCAGCAAGCGGCAGCGCGGGGACAGCATCGGGTTGGGGGGGGGCCTCGGCCGACGCTCCCCTCCTCACGCAAACCCTCACGCTGCGGGGCGGGGGCGCAGAGACGCGCTCCCCGGAGCGGCAGAGCAACCAGCCCGCAGCGCAGCACGGCCCTTACT